AATCGAGAAATGATTCCGCATCGATTCTGAGATTTTCCGAATGCATGGCGATTCTTTCTCGAGTCGATTCTGAGCGTAGTTTTGAACAGCAGATGGCGCTGCATGCTTTAGAAACCGCCGTACTCTGCTTGTTTCCAAATCCTTACACACACTTGAACCTAAAATAATCATTCATAAAATTCGAATTACAAGGAATGTTGAAGTGAATCACAAGGGTGTTGACAGTGGGCTGTGTTTACATTAATCTGGTGTCATAAAAGCATTCTGAGTCGAGGTGAAATTACAGACTCAGCCGAACACACAAGCTCTCTTCAGCGCTCGTCTTCATGAGTGTTTGAGTGTGTGGATAAAAACAAGGACCAGCATAAACCAGCAAAGGACCAGCTTAAACCAGCATCCCAGCGTCAAAACATACCTAACCAGCATATGCTGGTGTTTTCAACAGGGTGGGGAAACTAAATTAGCTCCTACTTCAGAGTAGGGTCTAAAACAGTCCTATTGACCTAATGTAGTCCTGCCCCTTTTTAACGCTGCGTTTGTTGTCTTCTGTCTTCCAGTTGTATTTCCACAGTGATCTCATGGATTCATGAATGAACCGCTCGTTTTAAAATCGTACTGGTTTACTTACATTTGTTAAGACATTTGCTTTAAACATTACAGTGCTCACGATAACATTTGTTAACTCTACAATACATAAATCCACTTTAGCAGCTACATTACTCTTATACAGCGATGCCATAGAAATACACAGAGCTACCACACAAACGGAAGTTCAAAGACAATATTCTAAAGATGGTGACGCGCTTGTTTCTCTGGAGAATAATGTCAATAGGAACTATCAGTCACGCAAGTGTATGCTGATTGGCCAAACGCATACGAAACACCAGCTACCTGGCATTTTTTTAAAAAGCAGTGTACAAATATTTACTCCCCGATCATGAAAAACAGCGATAACGGCCTTTACCTGTTGTCTGTAGCGTAACGCGTTGTGTTCTTTTCTCAGCCTGGATGATATGTAACACTGCAAGCTGTCATAGGAGATTTAGTCACATTTTCATGCTCTTTCAATCGCGTAAACTGTGCGTTTCCATTCCGTCTCCGTTATCACGACGAAACCCACACGACACATAACAAAACCAGCTCCGATCACGGCGTTCTCCATTCACCGGTTGTTTATGTTTGTAAATGCCGCGAATAAAGACGTCACTGTCGGTTCTTGCTGCCGGTGCGAATGCAACCAGGAAAACAGCCCGAGAGAGAAATTGGTTCTCTAGGAACCACCATATGCTGGCTACTAGTTCCTACAACTACGTGGTACGAAAGCCTCTTTTGTTCACTAATTTAACATGTTCACTGACAGCCAAATAATGACCACTGCAATCTAATTTTACATCATATTTACCGACTACTTGATGTCTGCATTTACATCTGCAAGATGTATTCAAGAGTGTTTGCTCATCTGCAATACATTTCATATACATGTTTCCAATCAGATGGCAAATAGATGTTTAGAAAATGTCTTTAAGATGTTTATGGTTTAGAAGGTATGTAAACCTGATGTTTTTCAGATGTTTGTGCAGAGCAGATGCTTTCCAGATGAAGCCATCTTTAACAGACCTCTTGCAGACATATGTGTGCTAATTCAACTAATGATGCAATTAGTGCAACAACAACAAAACATTTGCTCCGCACACATCGGCTTCGTTATGCCATGATTAAAATGAACACTAGAGATGGTTTTCAATCCGTGTATCATTCGATCATTCGTTTTTTTATTTAATATTGAAAGTAGAAAAATGAGAAAACGGCTTATTCAGCTTAAATTTTCGTTTTTCATTCAGGGGTAGAAAAATGAATAAACAGCTTGAATATTCGATTTCTACATGTGGGCGAGAATTAAACACCCCTTTCTGCTGATTGGTCAGCCGAAGATCAAACCGTGCCGTCATCAGTTCTTCTGCAGTATCATGCAGCAGAATAATAGTCCTCCGCTGCTGCTGTTGTATGGATTCTTAACACATTTATTGCAACTACATTTCATCATTTTTCATCAAACAAACAGGCTAATGAATAGCTCGACACAACTCATACCGGGGCAGAGTCTAGACAGGGCTTTCTTCTGTGTAGATATAAATTCTATTCTTTGCATCAGCTGGGCATGGCAGGGTATGATATGACAGCTGTCATAGCCTACCCTGCTCACCCAGTAAGTATGTTTGTTTAATTAACTAATCAATTTGTTTCAAAATAAATATTTTAAACACTAAGACAAAAAAGAAGGAATAATAAATTGGCTTGGGTATATACAGGCCTATAATGTTCAGGCAAGAACTGTCATTTTGACTGACAACCGGAGAACAACAGATATTAAATAGCCTACTGTTAGAGTTATATAATGTAGTCTTGTGTTTTATTAAAATTTATTATAATTGATATATCAAAAGGATATGCACTTGTGCGCGGCGTGAGCTGCTGCGCACTCGCACTGCAACGCAAGAGTTTCATAAAATATAATAACTTGCCATTTCCATTTGTTTCTCACCAAACCCTCAGCATACCTTCAGAATGCTTGGAATATACGCCACGAGATGCATA